CCGGTGTATTTTGGTTGGGCGGCAGGCGCGCCATCTGTGCGCAGAGCGCATCCACAAGCAGCGTGATTGGGATCAGTCTGATCCGATGCATTTCCGGGATGAACAGTCCGAGGCTGGTTCTCGCCGAAGCCGCTCGGCATTGGTTGCAGGCTGGAACCGAGCGCCCTTTGCGCACCTGTCTCGTCCAGCTGCGCCCGATGTCGGCACTGCAATCTAGTCTGTTCCTCGCTGCCTCGACGGCCACGTTGCTTCCACACCGAAGACCTCGTCGCAGCCAAAAGCTCTCAAATCAACTCAAGCCCGAAAGATGTGGCGGGGAAAGGCAATGGCGGTCCATTCGCGGGTGGCAGGCTTGTTCCAGCGCTCACGGTTGGAATGTCGAGGTCCAAGTCGAGGCCGCCGCACGCGCCGCGATTCACGCACAAAGCCTGCACGCCGCGGCTTTTGAAGTTGACACTGGTGATGGGCATGTGTGGCATTTGGAGATGCATCGAGAAAAAACCGCTACTTTCTCCACGGAAGAACCGAGCAGGAAGGTCGAGCCTCGTGGCTCAGGGATCGCGCGAGACCTTTGGACCGAGGATCCAGACCAAGAAGCCCTCTGCCCACCCGCCTGTGCGGCTGCGAGGAAAAAGGGACCAAAATTCGCTTAGCTTGGCGGGCCCACGACCGACCAGACACTCTGACGCGCGGCTCTCGTTGCCCTTGCCTCCGACGGACCTGGGAGCGCTCAGGCTACTGCCATATTCCAGACCCTTGGCCCGTGGTCCAGGCTGCAAGTGTCAGCGATTCACCTCGACTGCTCGACCAGCCGGCCTGGCGGTTGCCAACTGGTTCTCGATACGCGATCGGGTCGAGTGCAGGACCCAGACCCTGACTGCCCAGTTGCAGTCTGCCGATGCTGCCGACGCGCTCAGATTGAATTCGCATGGTCAAGGATTCGGATTGGAGGTTGGAGGCCGTGAGAATCCACGCAAAATGCAGAGATGGCAGCCACGGCGGGATTGCAATTCGTTGGGCGGCTCTCTATTGCAATTGTGCCTCGGCATGCACCTCCGCTCAGCTCAGGAACCTCGCGGGTTTTGGCCGCTGCAGGATTGGCCAAGAGGGCTGCATCTTGGTGTTTCGCTCCCCGCTCCCCCTCGGTTTTAAAATCCCAACTAAATTTGCTCTACCTTATTGGACTGGCGTGGTGGACCGGTGCCATGGATCTTTCCCCTCCCGAGGTTCGCCCCTGCTTTGCTGCGCTGCAACCGGCTAGCCTCCTCTCACGCATCCTCCCCATCCGCTCTGCCTGGCCTTGCCTGGCCCTGCCCGCCCCAAGGCTTGCATCCTCTATGCCTCTGCCCGCCCGCCCGC